GATTTACGTCTTGCGCTCACGAATTTTTTTTATCATACAAGAAACTGAATGAATATAAAAGGGTTGCTCACTGAGAGGTAGATATTGGAACTTCGGGATTGATTTTGCGGAAAAGTGTTGCACAAGCTTAGCCTGGAACCGGCGTACAAGCTCGATGTCAAGATATGACCCTAAATTATCAGTGAAGCGTGGCAACAAAGCAATGGAAAAATTAACTGAGAACGTCAAAATAATTTGCCTTCAAACACCCCTTTGGAAGGTAAGCTGTCATCGAAGTATTATTTCAGGTTTACTGGGAAGTTTTAATGGGAAATGGCAGGGTTTTTCAATGGTTTGCTCAGAAAGTGAGCTAAGGCTTGTCGAATTGTTTACATTTCCTGGTGAAACAAAATCTCTTCGAAAGGTCAAATTGGGTCAACTTGCATGGGGCCGCTCGCCTCACAAAATAACTTTTGCCAAGAAAAAAATTATATCACGTTCAAAAACATCTCTTGTACTTAGTAGAATTTAATTTTGAAAGAATCCTACATAATACCGAGTATGTTTTGAGATGTTTGAAAACGGTATGGAATTTTTGATTTTCAGAGTCTAGAAATTTCGGGTGTCTTCGCTTGCTCTCCAGGAATTCGGAGTTACTATTGTAAGTCTAAAATATCATCAAGGCAGCTTACCAATACCTCCTAAATAAAATTATAAACTAAGGAAAGCCATAATTTGTTATGCGCCTTCACGCGAGTTCGATTGTCTGATCATGAAATTTGACCTAATTTCTTGGATTTTTCGGTTTCACGGGTGGTCGACGGTTTTTCGTAATTTTCTCAAAAATGTAAAAACTCTAGAACCTAAGACTTAGATCACTATTCTTAGCATACCATAGGCTATCTCTGGACGAAATATCGAGGGGTCCATTTTTCCGACCTCGTGCCACATTTTTTCAATCTCACTCGGTCCCTACAGAGAGTCGCTCTTAAGATCTTGTAAAACTTGTAAGCGATCAGCTTTATCGTATTAGTTCTTCCAAGCCACAGAGATCCACTCTTCAGAATCTTCTAATCAATTACAATAGAGATTAGAGAAATCTATGATGGTTTAATACGTTTGTCGCCTTCTGCACCAGGTGTCCCCGATTAGTAGGCCACTTGTGACCAGCTAGAAGAGTTTGACACATTAATAAAGTTGATAGATTGATTGATTGAACATTTTCTAATAGTTGAAATAAGGTGAACTGTCTTGTGGTTGAATGTCAAAATACATTCTAAAATTCAAAACGAAAAGGAGTAAGCCTCCACAAGCTAGGGGAAAGTAAAATATTAAAGAAAGTTTAGGTGGCAAGAATAACCCACAAGGACGGCTTGCCAAACCCTGCAAAACCTCAGAACTGCCAAAACTAAGACTTCCAGCGAGGTATACAGGCTTCTAAGTTTTCCTTGTTGGCCTTCGCTTCGAACTGAAAGCTATGCTTACCTTTTCCATATTCAACGCAAATTTGAGTTATTTATTCAAAGAATATTTTCAAACCATTTTCTCGTAAGCGAATAAATCGAAGCTCGAAATGATGGTATACCACGTGGTAAATTCTCAATCGCCACCCTTCACGTCCTTAACCAAAGCCGATTTTTAGCATCGTGCACTTTTCCAAGTAGTTTATAAATATATATTGTCTTTCCTAAGTCTGTTATGAGTCCACCGACACTTAATACATATCCGGCAAATAATCAAGACTTCTGCGAGTAATACAAATTATCCTTCGTCATGAAGGCGCCCATATTTCACTATATAATATCGATTGGACACGATGAAAATAATGTGACAATGTATTATGTCTTCCAACCAACTACTTGACGTAATTATGATGTGCGTATACTTTCAAGAGAAATCGAAGCTTTTATTTTAGTTTCATTTACATTGGGGTAATTTCTATTAGTATAATTTCAGAGCTGAGCAGAGAGTTTCCAGCAATCTGATTGGTCGAGCGGTTCCTTATATGACGCTATACAAACCGCTCCACGCGGTTTATTTAAAATATTTAAATAAAATGTTACTAAATGATATTATATATACAAGGCTAAAAGATTAGGAAAAAATTATTAAAATGTTTAAACCAACGTTTTCGGCTGTTTGTCACTCTGATGATGGCAAAGAGCCGAAAACGTATGGTTTAAACATTTTAGTAATTTTTTCCTGATCTTTTAACCATGTATATATAATATCTTTTCTTAAGCGAACATTATGGACAAAATGTTAATAAYTGTTACTAAAGTGTTATGATTATAGAAATTTCTCTGTTGTTCAGCTCTGAAATTATACTAAAACAATTCGCCTCAGGTTCGGTGAATATTGTCGAATAATCCCCTCGACTTCGTCTCGGGGATTATTCTACGATATTCACCTCGCCGTCGGCGAAGAATTGTTATATGCAAACACTGTGTGACAGGGGCGACTTTCTGGCGCGTACCCAGGATCTCTGATATAGTAATGAACATTGAAATATTAAAGTAACCAGACTGCATTTTATTTTGATAGGTCCTTTTGAGTTTGTCAGCGTCTAAAGAGAAGAGTGACTCATACTCTTAGAATTTTATTTTCTTGTGTGTGTAGGTGAAGGAAGGGGATTTGAAATAGCTCAAGGTCGTCTAGGTCCAGGCCGTATTCATCACTGCATGCGCTTGGTTGGTTTGGCAGAGCGATCTCTTGACCTTATGGTCCAGCGATCTTTGGAAAGGGTGGCATTTGGAAAACGTTTGTCAGAAAAGGTCCGACAGTTTGATTTTTTTTACCATTTTCTGTGGGCAAATCAGCCATTAGCTGAACATTTAATGATGGGATATGTACTATACTAGGTTTACCTTTTTCAGGGGATGGTTCAAGAACAGATTGCTCTTTCCAGGATTGAAATTGAGCAGGCGAGATTGTTAGTCCTTAATGCTGCTCATAACATTGACAGGCTTGGAAACAAGGCTGCTAAGAATCAGGTGTGGCCCAAGTTGAACATAGAGCTTATATTAAATTTATAAAAGACAAGGTCCCAAATCAAAGTTAGTGCCTGGCACTCTTATTACAACTGCTTAATACCTTACTTATTTAAGGTTGCTTCCCACCTTCGCGGGTGTCGTTCGTGAAAAAATTCCTACGCGCGCTAGTCTCGAGAAAATCCCTAACAAACTATACATAAAAAAAGCTTAATACATGCAGTATACGATGAAAATATAATTTAGGCGTTTTTTTTCATTTAGGGAGTGGCAGGAGCCGGTAAGGCGTGAAACGACCGAGGGTCCTTCTATTGAATTTATCGGGTTTCAGATCCCGCAGCACGAGCAAAATAGCTGTACAGTCTTATTCACAAGGAATCAATCAACAAAAGTGTGTCAGGCTTTTCCGATATTCTGATTGGTTGTCTTGATATCTGCATTTAAAGTTGGAGCAGCGTAAAATATGCGAAACGTGTTGCGTAAATGGACACCTAAATGTGAAAATATTTCAAATATCAAAATTCCCTGACACACTTTCGTTCGTCATTATCCCTGGAATGTTTTGGCGAAGTTTGTCGAAAATCAGTCAAATCTACATTATCCTATAAATTTGCTCAAAGTGGATGTATTCCTCTTAAAATAAAATGCGAGATTTTGACTCCTAAACATTGTAAACAACTAGCGCCACACCAGGAGATTATCTCGCCTCCTAAAACCCCGAACCAATGGGAAGACGGGACCTCCAATGATAATGGATCAAGATTTTCCCGGGAAAAGTATCGCATAGCAGTCAGGTTTTTTTTGTTGAACTTTAAGTAATAGGCAAAGTTAGTTGAGGAAAACCCCGCGGCAAAAAAAGTAAAGTTGAGGAAACGGCTGAAAAGCAAAACAGCGAATCGACAGACAGCCTAAGGAATACTCTAATCGCTGAAATGAGTTCCCTCGGGAAGGTTTATCAATGATTTCATATGATGCGAGTGTATAAAAGTTCATCTTGTTTACTTGATTTCAAAAATTAAAATACTTGAAATAAGATGAATAATAATGATTACTGAGCAGCTTCTTATAGCAACACCTCAAAGCATTTAGAAAGTGGTACATAAGGATAATTTATATTTTTTAGATCGCCATGGCAAAGATTGTTGTTCCTCGGATGGCTTGTAATGTCATTGATAGAGCAATTCAGATACATGGTGGAAAAGGTGTTTGTCAGGATACTCCACTGGCCACTTTCTATTGTCAAGCACGGAGCTTGCGGATTGCTGATGGTCCAGATGAAGTTCACTTGGAAGCTGTAGCTAAATTGGAGCTTAAGAGAGCACTAATAGCAAAAATATAAAGTGGCATAGATCAGCACTTTTTTTCAGCTGCTGACCAATTACGGACTGGTCACAAGGTGCAGGAGGGGGGTTGGGCTGGAAAAATCAGATTTTTAATGAAAGCATTTTCAGTAGGCCCCTTCCCCCTTGGTGATTGTATGATTGAACATAGCACACCTTTGAATCCTATAACTTACACCCCCTCCTAAAAAGCTCTATGGCGAAAGTATTTTGCTTTTACTTACCTTTATCTCACTCCAACAAGACCTGTGGTGTAAATTTCCTGAAACCAAATTTGAAATAACTGAGGCTTCATTTGCCATTTCAAATCTGTGAGATTTTACTCCTCGTACCAGTCAAAGAAGATGCTCAAGTTGTCAAAAGTCGTTGGTAATTTAATACCACTCAAATGTCGCACCATCTTGACAAATCGTGACGCTCATAAAACATTAAGTAATTGCTGATATATTACAACCTTTCACTTAACATGGGTACCAGTTCGGGTGGCCTGTGATAACGAAAATCAGAGTCATTATTATTTAGACAGTTCAGGGTTTCTGTAGCTTTCAAAGTCTGCTGCAGTTCCTATTTTAAGAATATGCTTATTTTTAAAGTTAACATAGAGTTAGGGGCATTGCTTACCAGTTTATTGAACTCCACTGTAGTATTCAGGTAGCGTTCTTCATTCCCTAAGGAACTAGACCCAAAATAGCCATCCTCAAAGTTTGAATTCAACTCATTAAAACGTAACTGTTAATTAAACACTTCCAGAACCATGATCAGATTGAATTATGATTTACACATGACCCATCCCCTCTGTCGTGCATAGTTTTCGCCCACCCCTTTTTTATGCGTATAAACCGAACCCCCTCTACTCTATGATTAATCCCTTACTATTTGTTCTTATTACGACAGCCCTTTTTTGACACGGTGAAAGTGCAGCAACTTTTATCTGAAGCAGATATAAAGGCAAGAAATGAATTGAACATGATGTTCCATTTACTAATCATTATTTAATTTTCCACTTCTTTTAAGCCACCGCGTGGTCTAATAAGTGTTTTTCAGACAACGAAATAATTTTGGTTTTATCAACTGAGTTGATAATGTAAATTGGCCGCCGTAAAGAATTTGAAAGCTGACGTTTCAAGCGCAAGCCTTTCGTCGACGCGAGAGAGAGAGAGGGTGAACGCTCGAAACGCTTTGTATCTCTTTATAGTGGCCAATTTACATTGTCAACTCGGTTGATCAAATCAAATTTACCTTTTTATGCTCCCCCACGGATGCAGCACCACAGTTTTTTCGGAAACTTGCCCCCTTTATTGTTTTTAGATGAGTTAAACTGATTTTGAAACTCTCTTTGAGTAACGTTTACTTGAACTTCTTTTGTGATCACAAGCAATTTAGAGACCGAGTTTTACTGGTTATTTTCCTTTATTTCTTTGATAAGCAGGCATTTATAGGATAACAAAAAATGCCAACGGCATGCAGATGTCTCAGAGATGTGATTTGAAGAGGGGAAAAGGAGTGTTTAGGTCATTTAGCTTCGTAATTGGTCTTGGGAGGGTAAACGTACATAAAGTTATTGAACTTGAACACTGATTTTCAAGTGCAAAGGTGCATGTTGTTCATAATACAGAAGGGGGTTGAAAAGAATTTGCTTGGGTATATGATGAGACGGGAGTGACCGTATACATGTTAGATTCGACCTTTCTAAAGCTTTTTGTTTATTTTTTTTTCTGAACATCGAAGTAAATGTACAATCTTACCCTTAACTGTAAAGTTAGAATTCATACATATTTCATCGTGCTTTTTTTCGGATACGGACAAGTTTACCCGCACAAAGTAGTTGAATTACTTCAATTGGTTAGAAAATTCGCGAAAACTGAAACGAGCGTCGGTAGCCGTAAAATGGCGGAAATCAGTGCCCCGAGTGGAGGCAAATGAACTTTGCTCATGAAAAGTGCAAAAGAAAGCAAGCTCATATCAATTTTATGAATTTGTATAGGAAGGATGGAGGTATGGTTTAAGTCTAAAACGGAACCATGTCATTTAATTTGGAGCTCACGGAACGCTTTAAAAATTACCAATATTTCAAAATCCAAATATCGCATTTCGAAGCAAATTTTCAATTATCAATTTTACCATGCGGGGTAACTCAGAATAACTGGGGCTTTTTATTTCCGCACGGAAAAACCACGCTGAAGACGTTGAAGACGGGAGACATTTGATACTAGTGTAGATGTTACATACGAAAGTGTTTGTCACGCAAGGCTGAAATTATTTCAATCACAAAAGACATTTTCTTCCCCTCTTGTGGTTTTTCGGCCCCGAAAATCATGGATAATAATATGTAAATAACAGGTGTTCATTAGATAATATAAAATATGTTACGTTGGATGAGTGTTTCACTGAAAAGCTCAGATTCAATTGAAGGAGGACTCACCCCCACCCCGTTGAAAACCCCTGTAGTAACTGTTTCTAACTGGAAATAATTAATTAAACACAGTCGTGACTCTGGTAGTGTTTTTTCAGTGATTATCAATCAAATGGCATCTTTAGACGGAGGGATACTAAAATCATTATGCTAGAAGAATAAAATGATGCGTTGATCAATCAATTGAAACGTCAACACCACTTCCCCTCAGGAATTTTAGCTTTTGAAGATTGCCCATCCTTGGGATAAAAGGCAAGATCAGCGACAGTGCCTTTCTATTTATTGACCAGCAATTTATTTGACTATTCAAGCTTCGATTCAAAACCTAGACTCTGTAAACCCTGAGCCATTCGCTTTAAGTGCCTCCATATTAAAAGATTAACCAGTACTCCAGGCTGTTAAGACTTGACCCTTTCGGTTCAAATTCCCCTCTCCACTTTGGTAAGGTTCAAAGGAGGACAGTCAAAAGCCCGTGGGTTGCCCAAGATGTGAAGCTGCGAATTAATCGGCGTAAACGTCACTGACACCGATTCAAACTTCGAACGTCAAAAATCTTAAGAAAAGAATGTCAACTAAATTAGTACGCCAAGCAAAAATAATCGATTGAGTTAGTGACTATAAAAAAAGCAAAAAAAGATAAACTTGTGATCGTGATTGATTCTCTCTAAAATGAATTTCGAGCAGAAAACGCAAGCACGAGGTAAAAAGATTGCAAGAATATGTATTTCCAAGCGAAAAAACTCAGTGAGAAACTGAACTTTTGATAAAAATACCTCGAGCTTGAAAGTTATAACTACTTACAATATATGGCAGGACAGTCTTGTGGTAACTCCGAGCGTTCTGATTAGTTCTTACCAGATTGGGATTTTGCCGATACGGACCGTTTCCACGGAAGCGATCATAAGCTATGTATTTTAGTCGCGAAAGCCGCAGATTAAAAATTGATAAAAGTGTTTTCCCGAATGCCATATAATGAAATACTTAGTAACGTCACTTGCTCGAGCTGTATTGGGGAATATTGGCCCTCGGTCGTTTCTGTACGGACTGCGCTGCGCTCGTTCCGTACTGCCACGATTTCGGGCCAATAATCCGATTCTCAGTACGGCCCTCGCGCTAAGTTAGTAAAAAGTTATTCTTTGTGGCAACCACTTATTCGTCTTCCTTAGCACAGCCTCCGTAATAAAGAAGGCTGCCTCATGAAGTCTCTGCTAGCAAACCACAAATTTAAAGAAAATCTTGACTACGTGCCGTGCCCCTTTGGCAGTTTGACTAGACAGGCGCTTTGCAACATTTTGGAAAACTTCCTCGAAATAACGATTTTTAGAAAACAAAACCAGAAAAACGGTCAGCCAGAAAATTGCTAAAAAAATTGTCTCACTAATTCTATGATCAGCCTAGGGCGTTATTCCTTTAGCATAGCTGGATAACCCATCTAGAATGTTGCATCTTTGTGACCCTCTCCTTCATCCAACGCCTAAGAAACAGTGACGCCAGGAACAGGTGATCTAGTCCGATTGCTAGAGGGGGTGTTAAAAATTGGCCCTCGATCTAAAATTAAATCTATTATGGCCTCCACATCGGTATTCCTGACAGCCTTAAAGTGATCAGAAATGACTTTATGGCGTGGCATTAGCTGAAGTAACATTAGCTGAAGTATCAGAAGGATAACCTTTTTCTCGACACAATTGTTTTAGTTTGCGAACAGTTTCCAGCCCAACCAATGCCTGAAAATATTGATTTCTATTTCCTTGAGTTTTGTAGTTAAAACTCTCAATTTGGGAAGAACTTTCTTCACTCAGCTATGATTCTTTGTTTGGATTAGTGATTTCAAATAACACACCGTTCATTAATATTGATCATCAGTTCTAGTTCACGTTGGTATTGTTCTCCTATTTCAATCACTTTACACTTTGCCTCCGTTTCGTCTTTACTCTGACTTTTGATCCTTTCCCTAATCTTTATTTTATCATAATTTTTTCCTCTCTTTCCTTTGCTCTGCTATAGCTATTTATTGTTTTGTGTTATACTTATTGGCTCTTCTAAGTATGTGATATCACAGTTACATTCAATTCTGCACGAGATCCCCGTTGCGAAGCTAACAAGTCTGACAACGATGGCATACCGATAAGAAAGATTATCTCATTGAAACGTTTGTTAAAAACCATATTTACGGAAATTCGTGGCCGTAAAATTGCAAGATGAGAACAAGATTGAAATAATTTCTGCATTGCGTGACACATGCTTGAGTGTGTTTCATATACAGTAGTTTCAGATTATTTCCCGTCTTCAACGTCTTCGGCAAAGAACATTTGACTTACCAGCATAAATGAATGAATTATCCCCTTTCAATTCCACAATGAAGCTCAATTTTACCCTAGAACTTTCTTAAAACTCAAATGTGTTCGAATATGCCAAGAAAAACATACGCCCTCCGCTAGCTTACGGAATGTGAATATTGTAAACAATTTCGCCGTGGAAAATATATAAGAAATTGAAAGGAAAGCAGGGATAAAAACCAATCTGTCGTCGTTAGCTATGCAAGAGTAGCTTATTGTATTGATTTCCAGATCGAACACGGTGCTCTGGGGTGGATCCAGGTTTTCAGTCGAGGGGGTTCGATGAAAGGCGGCCGCCCCAGTAGGGGGTCCGGGGCATCCTCCCCTGGAAAATTTTTCAATTTCAAGTCCTCGGAAACGCGATTTGCGCCATTTTGAGGCAAAGTCAGCGTGTGTTAATATCTTACTTTTAAAGTTAAAATGCCATACTTTTTCTTAAAAATTTAACAAAGCTACGTAAAAACATGCAAATATGCATTAAGAAAACTATGATATGATACCACATTGTATCATATTAGATTTTGTGTTTATTCAAAGACGGGATCGAGAAGAAGCATTCTTCGGGGATATCTTTCCGCAAAAAGCTGGACCACAGCATCGTAGTCAACGGGCTTTTCGTAATGAATGCTCATCAGAGCCAAGCCCGACAGTCTTTCGGTTGTCATGGTGGTACGTAAATAACTTTTGACTGAGCTTCAAAGTACTGTTTGCTCGTTCGTTGCCGGCTGACGTGACTGGCATGGTGCAAGCAATTCGCAGCAGACAGTTAACGTTTGGGATAATGTCAGATCACAGGGCTGGTGGAAAGAGAGAGGTTAAAATCATTGCATCAGTTCAATAAACAATGTAGTTTTGATCGTTAAAATAAGAAAAACTTCAGAGGGGAATTGTTTCACCTCCAATGCAGGTTGAAGTGAGTCTGGCTTGGTTACTTCTGATTTTCATTTTCTGAACCACCTGTCACATTCAATGTCAAGGGTATGGGGACCTGGAAGATCTGACTCGTACA